CGTGATCACAAACACGCTTAACACATCATGATCCTCCAAGTCAGCGATATCAACTCCGGCTGGAAGAATCTCTTCCTGGAAGTCGAAGCGTAATGTGATATCGTATTCATGATGCTCAATCCCTCCCTTTGTCAAATCCACGCACTGGATCTCCAGGACCTTGTTGTCATTAACCACCCGCCAGAGAAAGGTTCGGGGATACGCTTTGTGTTTCCGGAAGTAAATTGACCCTTGTGTAGCTAGGTATCGGCGAGAAAACTCCTCCTCGTCTTTCGCTGCTGGTTCTTCATGGCTCGCGAAGGATGAGGCTATCGAAAATCGGGCGCGGTTCCGCGAGCTCTCTTGGTTTGGAATCTGGATGTTCGCGACGGTTTTCGGCGAGTACGGCCGAAGGTCGACTCTTGTGTCCTTATAAAATTTCGCCATGGCGGATTGACACTAGACCACCTTCCAGGGATATGTAAATGGTGATCTCAAGCCTCCATGGCCGACTATTGAGGCAGATGAAATGGATGTGTTGCGATTTGGCGGAGTTGAAAGGCGGAAGCTGAAGCTCTTTTGCTACTCGAAAAAAAGACAGGGTCTTGGCGCGGGTTGCAGCAACGCGGTGCTAGTGTTGATCACCGACGACAACAAACGATCACAACGACTAGTTGACTCATATTGCATAGTTAACTGCGGATGAACCTTTTCCTTCAAGCTAAGAGCATAAAAGAAAACTACTTGTTTCTTACATGGGCAATCATTCGGCGGCATCAGTGTCAAACATCGGACCATGTTCGCATCAATCAATTAAGACCCTGTGATGTACATTGCACGCTAGAAAAAAACAATAAGACTATATGTACCTTAGTAAAATGTGAAGAAACGTCGTGACATCTTGAACATCGTGGAAAGGTTCCGATAATGCGACTAATCATTCTCCAGATCCTTAGGGCTTGGATCTCCTATTCCATCCTCGTTGATGGCAAAGAGACAGTCACTTTCTGGTAGACATGGACTGTCATAGATCTTGCAAACTCGGGTCTCACCCCTACCCTTCTTCAAGCTCAATCTGGTCGTACTGGCATGCGCAATGATGTTGCCACCAATGGGCTTCTTCGGGTCGGGATTGAACATCGCACTTGGACCACCATCAACCTGAGCAACTACTTGGTTTGTAATAACGACGGCGATTCCAAATTCATCCGCCAGTCGCTGCAGGGTCCGCATGAACTTGGCGAGATGCGTCTGTCGGGACGAAAGCTCACCACGACCGTTAAAATCCGTCCGGTACAACGAGGTGGCGGAGTCAACAACAAGAAGTGAGAAACGCGTCTCACACATCATTTGAGATGCCTGGTTGAGTAGTTGGAGCTGATGATCTGAATTGTAGGCCCGAGCATAGGCGACGTTGTCCAGCACCTCTTCTCCTACCAGTCCATACCGCTGGGCCACCGCTAATAGACGCACCGGACGGAAAGTTCCCTCGGTGTCAATATAGAGACACTTGCCTTCGCCTCCACCCATATCAAACGGCAGTTGACAGGTGACGGCGAGCGTATGGCATATTTGACTCTTTCCTGTCCTGAACTCCCCAAAGATCTCGGTGATCGACCCCGTTTCTATTCCTCCTCCCAATAACGTATCTAGTTGCTTGGACCCTGTCGTGATCGATATAAGCTCACTTCGTCGGGCGTGCATCTCTGTGGCGGTTGTGAAGCCCATTGGCACGAGTTTGGCGGCTATAAAGTAGAGTCAGACAGATGCGATGTTCAAGGGAATGTGTTGGCCCACCCTCAACTAAGATTTTAGTCGCCTTCTGCTCTGAAATCCCCTTGATCTGTTCCAGCAATCGCTTCGGCCTGAATAGTTGAACGTGTGAGCAGTTTTCTGTAAATTACGCGGGGCTAAAGTACGCATAGGAAGACCTACGTATATGCGATTGACTCGACTGTGTGATAGCCCGCATCAACGAAGAGCTTGATGTCTCTACCGGTCAAACCTGCAACTCCCTACACCGACTGTATCAGCAAATTCACCTTGTATGTTGACGAAAGGACACATGGCGTCGTAGTATTCCTCCCCTTTCTCGATTACTCACCTCCAGAGCTGACAGCGGAGTGGGTGCGCCTGGGCCTGGCAATCCGCTCTCATCATACTCATTCTGAGTCTCCATATCGGCTGTCATGATGTTGACTGGGAAAGTAATCAAGTGGTGTAGGCGATTCAGTACTTCCACAGACCCGACAAAATGGTCTTGACGCGAATGGACGCGTTTCTCAGTCAATCCGTAGGTTTCAGCGTTAGTCCACGGAGTAATCAGCTTGAAAACCAGAAACTCAAAGGCGCTGTCACAGATTATTCGACAATATGACTCAACAGGAGACGATTCAGCTCATTAATGTGGCAAATCGCCCAGTCGTCACTCGACTAAACAATCGGAGAGATCGCGAACGCGTCCTGATCGTCACGAGGTCACGTGTCATGTCAGCCTGATGGCTGCCTCAGATGGGTAATGTCAACGATTAAATCGAACAACAGCGATAACAATACACTATCGGACGGCTCCCCCAGTGGAGTACTACGAGCGTTGCCTAGACCTTATTGCTACCATCTCTGTGAAATGTCACTCGAGATACGAGATCATTAGAGGAGCGAAGAGCATTAATCCTGTCTCAAGGAATATTCAAGCTTGTGCTATATAAGATACAATTGTTACCCTCGACTTTTAAGGAGCTCAGTTATCTCAGCCTGGTATGTATGAGTGAGCGGAGGCATAATACACGAATGCGAGTTAGGTTTATCCGACAGAGCCGAGGACCGGGTTTGCTTTGAACATATCTCCGTGATACCTGAGAAGCTACACGATGTTGCTGCTTCATACCGCGTGTAGTTGTTCTCACGACGCAGCAAAATGAATATCATGGCTGTGAGCGGTCGGAAGCAATCTTTACTTGTGCCGATGCATGCCATCGCGCGGTAGAGGCTTCAGCTGGAATTCCTCTTTCGGACGAGTTTGGATATTTTCCTCGATCAGCCTGCTGATCCTGCGCCTGAAATCTTCCGATGATTGCCCTCGACGGTGCCCTAGAGCTAGAGATGATATATTAGCATCTTGCAAAGCACAGCAGCCATATCATTTGCTTCGATGGACTCACCGTCAGCAACCGACTTCCGCTTGGTCTTTTCTGGGGACTTTGTTAGCCATGAGCTATGTGGGCCGAAGAATCCTCGTGATGATCGTCTATCTGATCCGACCGAGTGCTGGGACTCCTGAGGAGTAACAATATCTGAATGGATGGGCTGATTTTCAGGAAGTTTGTCGGAATCACCGCTGTTGGACTTGCTGCTATCCGAGATCTCTTTTTTGGGGGACGCCACAGTTCGTCGAGAGTCACGGCCAGCTGCGTTGAGAACAGACTGTTCCGTATGCCAGCGAGATTGCACATCGCTTGCGGTATCTGCAACCGAGGTTTTATGTGTTTGCTTTACGACTGGCGTTGTCGGCCTGCTTGCGTTTGGGGTTGCAAGCTGCGCTGGACTTGATGTGTTGCTGGTAGAGATCCAAATACCATCTACCTGGACACCCTTCTCTAGCGCTCGGGCCCCAAATGGTATGTCGCTCCCTCCAGTCGACACCGGACGTAGCTCGGTGCCCCGCTCTATTCTCTGATATGCTTCGGCGGCGGCATGTTTTCTGGTCATTCGTCGGTTGTAAGCAAGGACGCAGAATGCGTAAATAAGGACGATCGCCTGTAAGATGATCAGTGCCGGCTTGTGAGCATGGGGGAAGTCGAACCTACTAGGAGAACTGCAAGAACCTGTTCCATTTGCCATTAGGTCCGATCAATTTGTTTCGCTGATCTCGTCGAACTTACCATGCTCAGCTTTTGCCAAAGAGCCCAATTCACCCAGAACCGCATCGTGTATGCTTTACTGCCTTCTCGCCAGTGAGATCTGTGGGTGTCGAGCGTACAGGCAGGACGGTGAGGCGACGATGACCGGTACGCGATTCGATATTTGACCTCGCGGATTTAATAGGGATGTGAGGACGCATGGATACGGCAAGGGACTTGGGAGAGGGATCTCGGCCTGCTAGGATGGTGTAGGGCAGGAGAGACAGAGCCCTGCATTCGGTAGCTAGGAGAGATGGAAGGAGCGCCGTTTGCCAGGAAGCTTTTCTGTTTGCTGCAATAGCTTCTGACGTGGCACAGTGTGTTGAGTCTACATATGATTAAATCCACATATTTGTACCTCTCGTAGATGCAGGAGATAGCATTGCAAGATAAAGACATTGCTATAGCATATTATAACTACGCGTCTTCTGAACGCTCATACTGGCTACAACATCCTATCAGCAATCATTTTTTATGTGATGCCTATCAATGATGTTAAGCAATTAATAGAGTCTGGTTGGATCGACTATGGTGATGAGGGGGCGGATATAAGAAAATAATAAAAACAAAAAAGAAGAAGAGTTGCGGTTGTCCAGCCAAACAGCCAATTTCCCTGTAACGGGCAGGTGTCCTCCGGCGACGCCATCCCAGGGTGGAAGAGTCTCTGCAGAATTGCTTCCCTCAAGGGTCACTTCCATTGCTTAGCGCCTTGTAGCATCGTGGATTACTCGCACGAGTACAACGACGACCCCAGGATTCGTACCGGGCACCTTTCCCGCTGGCGAATGCCGCAGCAAGGTTACTGACTTAGCGGCGGGCCTTCCACTAGGTTATCCGTGACAGATTAAGAAATTTCATCCTAATTAGAAAATATTCTCAAAGTCCCATTAACACTCGGCCACAACAATCGTCGCTTCAATGATAATCAATCGATTCACCTTGTTTTGAGTATCAATATCTTCTCGATCCGTGCGATTGTTCTAGCCTCTTATGTAATTAAATGCTACTTCGTTCCTTGTACCGTAGCATTTCATTTCGCTTTGCTTCTCACGTTACCAACCACGATGGTCCTGACTGAAGACTCCCTTTACGCTGCACAATATATATTGGCCGCATTGTAATTCAGCCGTCATCCATGCCCACACCACTTCCAAAGTGTCCAGAATTCTGCACGACAGTTACCCGAGCAGCAATCACCATCCCCGAGGCAATAGCCGTGGTAACCAGCACATTCAGTACTATGTCGCGTGAGGCATTTGCCGTGCACACATGTATGACCTCGGAAGCAGTCGAATGAACCTTTGCAACCCATCGTGCATCTCAGGTGCTCGTCGCAGATATGTCCATAGTCACAGTCTGCGCTGACCTCACACCTAGCTCTGTCCACCATCTCTGGAGGCCGATGACCCTCTTCACCAGGGCCCATGAGATGTTGTATCTTGGGTTTAGAATCGACTCCGTGGACAACACCCACCAGCAGAATAGCAAAGGCGACACAGATAAATTGAGGAATGAACGCCATGGTGGACGTTATTCTGCGGAGTCGCTACCAAGGTTCCCAGATCAGCACCATGATAGAGATGTGGCACGCGACTGAAACCATCAAACGAGTGAAGTTTGACTCACAGTAAAGGTATCTTAATCTGAAAGGTCGAAGATGTCAGGTCGCTCCCTAAGTCCAATCTCAAGCGTCTGACCCTATATAGAGAGTTGGGAATGAAGTACATACGCGGAGGGTCTTCTCTACTCCTAGTGTGCTCATGTCCAGACTGGGCAATTGCCCAATTCACCCAGGGTTACTCCATGGTGACTGCCAATATCGAAACCACCACGTGAACTACTCTAAACGTCCAGGGAAGCTAGTCTATAGGCTTCCTTTTCTACTAGCCTTCTGGATACACCTTGTCAATGTAATGTATGCATATCCATACTCCGCACTACTCAGCTCTTAGCATATATCAGTAGCTATGTGCCGTGCAGATTGATAAATACTCATCCAGACACATCAGAGAGCTACATGCATGCGGGGGCTACAATCGAGACCTGATGCTTATGGGAGTTCCCATATACTCTTGCGCTTACTCGGATATTCTCGATGCTCCTGTCGTCGTTTCCGTAGTCGACAAGCATGAGACGGAATCACCCAGCCGAGATCCCAAGTAAGATGACTCCCCCTCCTCGGAGAAAGGGCCACTTATGGTGCATTGCATCCGGGATATCACTATTTCTCGGTCCAAATTACTGTAAAGTTGCAGGCGACGAGGAAATCAAATTTACCTGTCGACGAGTCGAGTGCATGGTGAATCCAATAAGGAGAACCTCGAGCAGTAACCTAACCAATACACTGATAACTATGACCGGAACGATGGCAAGCGTCTCGTGAGAAATGAAATCGTTAAAAAGCAATAATAACATCATGATAGCATCACCGGCTCATGTATCACGTGTAGTGCAAAAAGTATCAAAACTCATCAAAATCCTACTACTATCTAGTTATTACTAGTACGTAGGTACTTACTCGTCGGACATTTATGCATAAACCATACGGGTGTAATTTCCCTCGATTAGGAGTCTCAGACCTGCCGAGACAGGACGCAACCGAGGTACTCCGTACCTGAGTACCTATGTATTGTCGCAATTACCACTTATAATCTCAGATGGTTTTAATTGATTCGGTGGCATTTTCAATGAAGACACGAGGCAGGCGTGAACCACTTCCGGGGATCCTTACAATTCAGCGTATCCATGTCCCGTACTCCTTCCCTGCTCCACTTTCGTTCCCTCCGCTGTAGTCCGTACAATCAACGCTGGTTCCTGTGAAAATTGCTGGATTTAGTCTTTCAAAAGTGGGAACCAACCACTCCAATTGCAAGCGCAAACTGTAAAGACGTGGGGCGTCTAAAGCCATACATCATGGGAGGGATAAAGAAGTCTCCTCCCTTGTCTCGATCAAGAAACAAGAAAAAGGCTTTCTGGGGTTGCCGATGCTTTGACGTATACGGCTGGGTTGGCAGCAAATTACCAGCCGATTTAGCTACAACTAGTGAGGGAACGCAATGACTCGAGCCTTACTTCTGGTTAATGTAATGCCGCTAAGATCGTCATCCAAGAAAGACATTCATAAATTGTACCAACGGCACCCCATTGCCGCCGATCATGTGAGATTGGGGGGTGTTGCACGGTTCCTGTCCTTTAATCAATCAGATTTCCTTGCAGTTGCACACTTACACTCMACATATCTGGGACTCCCATTAAGAGCCCTATATCTGACTACTTTCCGCGGTTTTGAATTAGATCTCATTCCAGCATGGCTCCGTTTCGTAACTTCCTGAGCAGAAGGTCGGCGGCTCCCAATGGTGGGGAGATCGAGAACCTCCACGAAGACAACCGGGTGTCCACAGAGAGTCATCACTCCAATCCGTTGAGTATCAGAAAAAGCTACGAAAAAGAACCCCCAGAATATAAATTGAGCGGTATGCTTCCATACTCGCAACAATACCTAGCGCCCTATGAGAGTCGAGGTTTCTGATTCCTTAATCTACAGTTGTCGACGACAACGGTGCTTATCTGCCGGTAATTGCATCCAAACTGTTTTGAAGTCCCAGGATTCCACAACTAAGGAGTGTCGATCGCAGCCCTCGCCCCCAGAGAAGCAGAGTTTCTGGAAGAAATATCCCGGCTCGAACCGATCGTCAAATCATCGAGATCTCGTTGACGATAATGAACCCTTCTCAATATCCCGCGAATCATTCGATTCGTACCGGCGGTCATTTGTGAGTTGGCAGGTCACTTTATTTACCTGGAGCGTATGTCGGCTGACTCCGGGTGTTCTAGGATATTTCCGCTCGCTCTCCAGTGAGCTACACCGACACAATGCCTTCTCGAACTTCACTAGACTCACCATTCTCCCGCATGACGTCGCAGTCTACCTCGCACACGAACGGATTCTCGAAGCCCGAGGCTATGGAAGAAGAGAAGTTTGAGGACGTGGGACTCGATGACGAAGAGGCTAAACCCAAGAAGAAAGGCATCTTCTCTCGGCTTAGCGATTTTTCTGGCGAGTCGCAGGCATCCGGAAACACAAAACCTGCATCGCAACACCTTGGATTTCACATCCCAGGCAGGAAAAAGGGATCCACCACCCTGGAATCTGAGTTAGGTGCGATCAGGCCACCTGTCAGTGCAGGAGCCGAGACCGCCTGAGATGTGTCACGCAACTCATTCATGGATAATTGGTTGGGAATTGAATTGATTCTAGGCGTCGGGAGGACGGATTCGTTGGTGTTTGACTGCTTTGTGACAGCCGGGATTTGGAACCGGGCGCATTACCTATTTCTCATGTGCTATATGCGGTACGGCCTTTTGTCTTATTCGAGAGACATTCTGGCATATTCTCATGCCATTGCCTCGGTATTTAATCTGTACATGACATATACAAACACATCTACTCTCTCTCTATGTACTCGTATCAGATGTCTCTATCAAGCCTGATCCTTATCGGCGGGGAAACAAACAATGCAAACACAACCCGACCGCCCTCGGGAGACAAAAAAAGTTGAACCGACTTTTCTCCGGCAGAAACAGCTTCAAGAAATTTTATCTAGCCAGCGGTACGGGACATAGCAAAGCAATCCTTCCAGCACCCTCAATTGCTTGGATATTTAATCGCCAACACCACCTACAAAGTCGACAATATGGTCGGCGTAAAACGTCGCGTCGATGCAGGCGACGAGCGCAACGGGAAGCGGACAAAGACCAAGACAGCGCCCGTGACAACGAAAAAGGCCAAATCTGCGCCAGTGAAGAAGTCTGTCGCACAGAAGAGTTCGAAGAAGGATGTCAAGTCTGGAAAGAAGGACAAGAAGTCTAAGAGGAAGGTAGAGGAGGAAGAGGAGGACTTTGACGATGACGAGGACGACTTCGATATCGATGATATTCCGGACTCGGAGGCTGATGAGGAGGATGATGAGGATGTCGAAATGGGTAGTCCGAGTGACGATGATGAGGAGGAAGACGTTCAGGAGGAGAAGAAGCAGAAGACCAAGGCGCCCGCTGCCTCAACGAAAGCAGAGCCCCAGAAGAGTATGGTGACCCTCTGAATTTTTCTTTCTCCCGGATTACATGTGCTGACAATACTTTCTTTTCTAGATAACAATTCTCGCGAAGCACATGCAAAGCAGAAGACCCTTCTACAAGAGCGAAAAGCCGCGAAGCCTAATGCCGACATCATAGCTCGTTCAAAGCAGCTGTGGGAACGTTTGCGTCGCAAGTCTCACGTCCCGCTTGAGGAACGGAAGAAACTCATTGCCGAGCTTTTTGAGATTATCAATGGAAGAGTCAGGGATTTTGTTTTCAAGCACGATTCTGTCCGGGTTATTCAGACGGCTCTGAAGTACGCGAACATTGAGCAGCGGAAGCAGATCGCTCAGGAACTCAAGGGTCACTACAACGAGCTGGCGCAGAGCCGCTACGCCAAGTTTTTAGTCGGCAAACTGCTTGTTCATGGCGACACCGAGGTGCGAGACCTGATCATACCGGAGTTCTATGGACAGGTTAAGCGGCTTATTCGCCACCCTGAAGGATCTTGGATTTTGGACGATGTCTACCGGACGGTTGCGACCAAGCAACAAAAAGCAACGCTTCTTCGGGAGTGGTATGGACCCGAGTTTTCGATATTCAAGGATGAACAGGCATCTGCCGAGCTGTCGGCGATTTTGGAGAAGAACCCCGAGAAGAGATCGCCCATTATGCACTTCCTGCACGAGATGATCAACCAGCTGGTGCAGAAGCGGGCGACCGGCTTTACGATGCTGCACGATGCCATGCTGCAGTACTTCCTTAACACAAAACCCGGCAGTTCAGAGGCCAACGAGTTCATTGAACTGCTCAAGGGGGATGAAGAAGGAGATCTTCTGAAGAACCTGGCTTTCACCAAGTCTGGGTCGCGAGTAATGTGTCTGAGCTTGGCCTACTCCAACGCCAAGGATCGGAAGCTGCTTACTCGCGCTTACCGCGATACCGTCAAGATGATGGCCGGGGACCTCCACGGCCACATGGTTCTCCTGGCCGCATACGAAGTCATCGACGACACCAAATTGACGTCGAAGTTGATTTTCCCCGAGCTTCTCAACCAGGGGATGGAAGAGGAGGCGCGCAATGAGGAGCTGCTCTATCAGGTTAACGACCTGACGGCGCGGATACCGATTCTCTTTCCCTTCGCCGGAGACCGCGTCAAGTGGCTTGTGCCAGAGGTCGATCAGGAAGTGTTGAAGGAGATTCGGGAGATCCGAAAGGAGACCTCGAAGAAGGAGCCTGCTGTCCGTCGCCAGGAGCTGGTCAAGGCGGCATCTCCCACTCTGCTCAGTTTCATAGCCGCTCGCGCCGAGTCTCTCCTGGAGACCAGCTTCGGATGCCAATTTATCGCCGAGGTGCTGTTCGACGCTGACGGTGACAAGACCGCCGCGCTATCGGCCGTTGCCGCCGCCGCCAAAGTCAAATCAGACATGAAGGACTCGCCTTTCT